AGCAAAAGATTGTATTCTAGATATACAAAAAATAATATCACTATGCTGGAATGACGATGCAAACACAAATTTATCGTCATTTGAGTGACGATACAAATACAAATTTATATCCATTATGTCAAAATGATATCCTTTTTGATATGAGTTTGGGTAAATAAATGTGTTCTAGATAATTTTTATTGAATTGATGATGCAAAAGCGAAATTATATGCAAGATTGATATTGGAAAATATGATATCATTTTTGATATGAATTTGGATAAATAAATGGGTTCTAGATAGAAATCATTGATTTGACGACGCAAAAGCGAATTTATATGCAAGATGGGTAAGTCTAATAGAAATTGTGCCAGAACTCCTAAAGTGCGTCTACTCCAACAAGAGTTATAGATATCTTTATACTTTTTGGCCTTTTTACTACTCTTCCTAATTGGATGCTTGTCTGTATTTTTTTTGTCTTTTTCAAGAGATTCAAGAACTCTGTAATCTAAAGTGCTTAGTTCTTCTTTAATCAAAATCTCTTTTTTGATTTCTGGCCTGTCTTTTGCTATGTTGGTTATTTTTTTTTATTCTACATGATTTCTCTTTCGAGAAAGTAATTGTTCATCAATCTGCATATTATTGTTTATACTTTCTACTATAGGTTTGGCTATGATTTCCATACTTTGGTTTTCATCAGATGGAATACAGGATTGTAATATAGATAATTTTGAATAGGATGATTGGTCTTCTTGTTTTATACTAATACTATGCATCTGATATATACTATACTTGCATATTGTCATTAATAGGAAGCTCAAGTAAGATTTTTTCCTCCTCTTCTAGCTCTTGGTCTCTTGTTTTCTTGTGTTGTGCCCAATTATAGTGCTGCAGGATATTGTGAATAATTGAAATGAGATAAACCTCATTTGTATCTAAGTATCATGCAACTTTTTTTTCCTCCTCCCATGTGAGTATGCTTTGCTTTTCTTGTATATTTTTTCTTTCTCTTTTTGACTTAATAAAGAAGTTTTTGTAGTCTATTAATTCTAATATATTATGTGTTCGTTTGTTTGTTTTTGGGATTACTACGTGTTTTGTTTGTTGTTTTGTTGTTGGTTTATTGTCTAAATAACGTTTTGGGCTTTGTTGTTCTGTTTGGGCTATTTGTTTACTTTTAACATGTACTTGTTTGTTTGTTTTGATAGTAATCTGCAATACAGGGTGTAAGCCAAATCTCCAAAAAAGTTTCAAAAAAAAAATTCATTCAAATTTTAGAAACAGAATTCAACATTTCTTTATATATTGTTTTTACAATGAGCTTTGAAAGCAAGGTGTTCTAATAAACTCTATATGAAATTTTTTATTTGTCTTTTTTTCTTAGAGGTGTTTATGAGGTTGTCTTAGTATAATTATGCTTAGTTACTATATACTTTTTAGCTCCAGTTTTGGGTGTAGTGATCATTAGAAAGAGTTGTATAATTTTTTTTTTTTGTAAATTGAATAAATTTTTTTTTTATTTAAATTTTATAGATCTATAGAATTAAACTAAAAAAAATTATTTAATTTAATCAAGTAGTTGCTGAGATATCTTTAGTCAAAGTTTTGTTAATAAGTTTAATATAGTTTCTATTTTAATAGATGTTTTAGAACTTTGATAAAAAATATCTTAGTAACTACTTAATTAAATTAAATAACCCTTTTTTTTATTTAAATTCTATAAATTTATAAATTCAAGTAAAATTTTTATTTGATTTTAAAGTAGAGAGTACTATTTTAAAATTATATATAAATTTAGTGAAAATTTTTTTTATATTTAATTTTATAAAAAATTGTATTAAGTAAACTAATTTTAATTTTTAAAAAAATTTGTAAAGCAGATTTTTTTAATTCTAATAGTAGTAAAATTATTAAAATTGGTTAAAAACTTAGCAAGATATAAATTTTTAAAGATTAGATATAAAAATTATTAATAAAATTAATATATAGATTAGCTGATTAAATTTAGCAATTTGTATAACTCAAAAAATTTTAAGCCAACTCAAAAAAACTTTGTGATATATATAAGTAAGCATAGCAAACTTTTATTGTGATTGGTTAGATTTTAATGATTATCTCGTGATTTTATTGGCTGATTGACCAACCAAATTGGTAGAATAGTAACGATGCATAGTATTAATATTGGTCTTTAAAGTTTTGCTTAAATATTAAGAAACATCATTATGTACTAAACATAAGAAATGCCCTTAATGCCTTTATAAAAAAAAACATTAATTTTATTATTGCAAGATTAATAAATTTTATCTATTATATCAATAAACATATCCTTTTCGCTTTTTTATTTGATGTCATGGATTATACCAAAATTTGAGGGTCTCGATTTAAAAATATAAACCCTACAAGATCAACCTATACTCTTTTGCTAATGTTGATAACCTAAATCTCAATTTACCCTTAAAAAAAAAAAGCCAATTTAAAAAATTTAAAAATCCCACATAATATACAAAAAAAAAAAAAAAAGCCAATTCAAAAAACTTAAAAATCACACATAATATATACAAATTTTAGCTTCATCCATTTTAAAATCATGCGTGATATTAAAAACCAATAACTACTAATTACCAAGACTATCTATCATAGTAATGTTATTAAAACTTCATACGATTATTTAGTATTGAACCCTAAGATTATTATGTGATGAAAACTACAGTACATTAGTAAAAATCAATATAAATAAATAAATTAATTAATAAAATAAGATAAAAGTCAGTTTAAAAGTAAAATAGAGAAAAGGATAAATATACTATTTACTTATTGTTTATAAGCTACAAATGTCTTGGCAAAACTAAAAAAAAAAAGTTTAAATCACATAGTTTAAATAGATTACAAGCTAAATAGAAAGTTTAAAATACTTAAAAAGTAGCTTTTATCTAACTTCTGAATTACTTTACCAATTACCAAATTATTTTGACATCTTGTAGTGAAGAAGGTATAGTTTTTAAATTTTTATACCACAACTCTGCGAATTTGTATTTGAGGCTATGAATCTAATTTTTGTGATTCTCATGACAGAAAATCATTACTTTAATAATAACAAGATGATTTACAAAAATCAGCCAATCACAATAAAAGTTTGCTATGCTATATAAGTATATTTTTTTAAAATAATATAATAGTTCAAAATTTTACTATAATAAATAAATTATTTTATTTATATTTTATAAAATTTTAGCTAAAATTAATTATAATTATAAAAAGTTTTATTAATAGCATATTATCAATTTTTATATAAATCTTATTGTATCACCAAAATCATATGATAAAATAATCTATATACTCTCTACTCTTAATCAGTATAATTATAAGTATATAGATACAGATATAAATCTTATCATATAAGCCCTATATACTTAACTCACAGAAACTAAACAAAAACAGCTTAAATAAATTTTGGCTAAATCGTTTGATACTAGCCATCCAGATTTTGACCAATAAAAAGCTATAGAAAACCTTTAGTAAAACTTTTGTAAATATGTTACTTTTTGCAAAAACTGTTTTATATCTAAGCAAAAAACAAAACTAAAAGATAAATATTGCCAAGAGTGTTATGAAAAATTGTATCTTTCTAAACCAGAACCTAAATCTCTACTCATTCCTTAACTTACATTACAAGAATTATTACTAGATTTCAATAAACTAATAAAACTTTTCCAATACCAAGTCAAACAACAGGCCCAGACTATTGTTCTGTTACAGAAACAAGTTTAAGACTTGGAGCCTCAAGTTTAAACTATTCAAACTTTGCAAAACAAAGTTAATGAACTAGAATAATTCTATCAACAAATAGAATATTTTTACTAAAACTATTTTAGTACAGAGCCTCAAGTATAGTCTTTCCATATAGCTACCAATATGACAAATTTTTAAATCATTCTAAGTATAATAAAAAACTACTTGATGACTAGAAACTTTGCTTATAGAAACAAAAGCTCTAAAAATAGCTCTTAGAAACTCTTATAAGATAAAAGAAGTATATATTCTTACTCAAGAAATAACTCTAAATATTAGATCTTTAACTGCTAAACAAGAATATAAATTTTGATAGTTACTATCAAAATTTGCAGACCTTTTTGCAAAAGATATTACTCAATTAGGCAAAACTGATTTTGTTATCTGCCAAATATTTATAGAAGATATATCTTCTATTAGTTCTCGACCTTATATGGTACTATTCTCAAAACAAGCTATTATCAACAAAAAAGTGCAAAAGATGTTAGACAATAAATTGATACAAGAATCTACCAGCCTATAAATCTTCTTTGTTGTATTAGCTACTAAGAAAAATAAAAAAAAATAATTTTGTATTGACTACAGAAAACTTAATACTATTATTAAAAAAGATTTCTATTCTCTTTCTCAGATAGATAAAATGCTAAACTCTCTAGCAGAAGCCTAATACTTCTTTACTCTAGATCTTATAAGTAGATATTGGCAAGTTATAATGCACCCCAAAGACTAAGAGAAAATAGCTTTTATTACTTAATATAGTATCTATAAATTCAAAATTATACTTTTCAGACTTTGTAATTCTCTAGCTACTTTTCAATGATTAATGAATCAAATTTACAAAAATATAGCAATAATATAGCTTATAAATATATAGTTGTTTACTTGAATATTATTAATGTTTTTTTTTGAATATTCAAAGATTATATTAAGTATTTGTATAAAGTATTTATCTAAATTAGAAAGACAAGCCTCAAGCTTAATTTAAAAAAATATACTTTTTGGATGAAACAGCTACTATTCTTAGAACATATTTTAAAGAAAAAGGAATATTACCAGATCCAGATAAAATCAAAGCAATACAAGGAATCTAGCCTTTTAAAAGTGTAACCCAACTTTGATCCTTCTTAGAACTCACCAGATATTACTATAGATTTATACAAGGTTTTTCTATTATTGCTTATCTATTAAACTAATTGCTCTATAAGAATAACTTCTATATGTGAAATGATTAATACTAACAAGCCTTTGACAAACTCAAACAAAAACTAGTAACTGCATCTATTCTAATCTATCTCAATTATAGATGAGAATTCATTTTGGCTATTAATACTTTCTATAATAAATTTGAAATCACCTTAAGCCAAATTTCAAAATAGTAAAGATCATGTTTTTCTCTAAATCAAAAAAGATTTCTTATAAGAGAAAACTGAAGTGTTTACTTGAATAGATCTATTGTTAAGACTCATTTACCAAGAAAAAATACAAAAAATAATTTAATAACTACAAGTTGACTAATAAGAAAAGCAACAAGACCAACAGATAAAAACTTTAGAAACTTGCTATTATCTAGAACAACTAAAAGAGAATAGCAAAAAAGACAAACAACAAACTCAGAATATTAGAAATTTACCAAAAAGAGTTCTAAAAAACTAAAAAGCTACAAGAGCATAAAAGTGTACTAAACGAATTTTTAAGTTGCTACAACTAAGTAGACTTAAATGACTTTATTCAACAACTTTAATTACCTTTAGTAATTTGGAAGGATTATCAAAAGAAGACTTCTTGGACCTTCTCAAAAAAGTGAGAATTCACAGAGTTTATTTTTAAAGAAGATAGAAATGTTATAGAAAAGAATTTAGAATAGTGATAAAATAAAACTTACTATTTTTATTATTTTTACTATTTTTACTATTCTTATTATTTTTACTATTCTTATTATTCTTACTATTTTTACTATTTTTACTATTTTTACTATTCTTACTATTCT